ACAATACCCTAACAACTGCTTCTCCTGCGCTTTCATTGTATCACAGATTGTAAGTCGAGAGGGCATGTCCAGGACATGGAAAGTCGTGCACGAGTTACATCCCGACAGTGCGCCATTTTACACACTTGAACATCCTCAGAGTTTGGCGTCTTCTGGGATCTTAGACTTAACCTTTGGATGCTGAAGGACTGTCTGGCTGCGACAGGCGTGCCATAAGCTGGTGTGGATGGGTGGGTGCCACACCGGGGCTGCCCAGGTGTGGTTCATGCACTAATGTGCAACGGATACCCTGACTGAGTTTGTGGCGAGGTGTGGCAGGTGATCCTGACCCCGTGTTACTCTCTTCGTGGGCGTACAGGAAACTACACTTCTCCACACCTCAGTGATCAGGTCAGAGCCATGTGACAGGCGATGGCCAAGGGGTGTGTGTGTGTGTGTGTGTGTGTGTGTGTGTAGAGAGAGCGCTGGCTTTAGCCTGGACAACATCTGCAGTCATCCTCCTGCCCTGTCCTCCCCAACACAGCTGGAGACCTCTCTGGAAGGGGAAGAGCCCAGGTTGGAGGCAGCGAGAGGCACTTGGACTGGCACCGGCTTACAGCAAACTGCACGAGCATGGAATGAGCCTCCCACAGGCTTGCTTGTTCCCGCTCTGCCTGGCCTTATGGACATAGCACTGGACAGAATGCAAAGTCGACAGGACGTTTAGAGCTGGAACACGAAGCTTCGAGTAAGGGACTGTTTCTGACCTGTCGATCTCTGGCACGCTTTGCCTCGACACAATCATGGACAGACCCACCGAGGCCAACAGCGGTTGATTCTGGAAATGGCTCAGGGCAGGTCCACGTAACTGATGTGTGCTGAGTGAGGAGCTGTCCGGGCAACAGGACAATGCTGCTTCTGAGCCGATTTCGGAGCTGGGCTCAGCGTGAGGCTTCAAGGGTCTCCAATCCTTCTCTACTTGGAGAGAGGAATGCGTGTTGCAATGGCCTGAACGGAGCTTCCCCTTCCCTCCGAAATTCAGCCCGTGAACGCCTCACTTCCGCTGTGACAGGAGCAGACGGGAATTTGGGAAGCAATTCAGATCATGAACAGGACTGGTGCTCTCACGAAAGAACCCCAGACTGCTCTCTTGTGCTCTGTCAGATAAGGGCACAACGAGAGAGAAGACAGCAGCCTACAGCCTGGAGGGCCTTCACCAGAACCTGACTATGCTGGCTCTGGAGTTCCAGAACAGGAAGAAACAAATTCCTGTCTTCTCTGAACCATTCCGCCTACAGGACTTTGCTACTGTGAGCTAAGTAGAAGCAGTCACCCGTCCCATCTGGGGCCAGGCTTCCTTCTTGGGATCTGGCGTGGACCAGTTTGGTAATAGTAAGTCAGCAAGAGGCTGGTGCTCTGGGTCTCATAGTGGTGGGGCTTGAGGTGGAGATCACGGCTGGGCTCTGGTGGCTGGCAGCAGTCATGAACTTGGGTGGGTTCTCTTCCTGGGCCCCCAGCTCTATAGCAGCCTGTAGTTCACTTCACAAGTAAAAGTTGCAAAGACGAGGAAAGTGCCAGAGGCTTTTGCTATTGGTGTATCTGTGGGTGCACAGGGCAGGTGATAGCTTGTGCTGGTGTCAGGGTCCAGCTTTTGAAAGTGGCACCTTGGAGTTTGCTGGGCTGCCTCCATGGGGGACATTTGCTAAAGCAATGGGCTAAGACCTAGTTCTAGCTTCCTTCACGAAGAGGCTTACCTCACACCCCTAACAGGCAAGGTAGAAAGAAAAGATCCCCCTTTGGGTGCCCTCATTTCTAAAAAGACTAACCATACACACGTTTTTAACAATGAGCCCAGTGTGTGGTGGGCGGTAATGCTGGAACTTCGTGGATTAAGGACAGAGGTGGGGACCGATCCTCAGGGATTATCCTCAGATGCCCAGGGTGTAGGGGGGAAGGCCACTGGCTGAGGAACCTCTCTGGTTTTGACAGTCTCGATTCCAAGCCCCAAAGCCGTACCCTGGTGCAGAGGACCCAGGAAACCATGCTAGGGTAATCTTCCTAACTTGGTGGGGGCTGGGGGTGGGCGTGGGGGGAGAGTGCCAGCAGCGAAGTGACAGCTCTCTCACCCCCAAGAGCTGTAACACAGGAGCTCCGAACCAAGGAGGCTGTCACGTGGTAGGAGTACAAGGTGTGTGTAGGATCCGAACGCTCTGTGACCTAGCGACACTGAGGATGTCAGCCACAGGGGCTGAAGGCGCTGGGGTGGACGTGGAGCTTTCCAGGGAGCTGGGGGGTCTCGCTTTATTTTTAACTCTAGGCCATCTGCTTCCCTCTTCCCACCGGGTGGGCCACAGTCTGGGAAATAGAGCAAGCATATGCTGCTCCCGGGGGAGGAGGTGCTGGGAAGAGGCGGGGGGCGGGGCAGGGGTGGGTTCTCAGGAGCGTGGTCACCCCTGGCCAGCAGAGCTGGCCTCCTCGGGGCCACTTCAGCGCTTCAGGTTCTGGGAGGAGCTACAGGAGTGACTTCACAGACAAGGAGAGCAAACCTCCTTTTGGGACAGGCATCCCTCCTAGAGTCTTTGAAAGGTGGCCAACTTCTAACAGGGCCATCCCTGCGAGAGGAGAGACTGTTCCTCAGGCAGATTAAGGTTTGGAGGATTTCCCAAACTCCTCCCTCCGGCTCCCCCGGGATTTCATGGTTCCCTAGAGTCAATAGCTCTCAAGCAAACATCAACCATAAGGGGAGGAAAAAAAATTTTAAAAGGTGCCCTTTTCATACCAACTGGCCCAAAATGGACAAACGTTGCCCCTCCTCCCCATCCCGGGTAGGTTTGCTGTCAAAAATGACCACAAAAAAGAAACTGTCAATACTCCATAGCAGGTTATTCAATAAGCCTGTTAGCGACACTCAGCTTCATTTATTACTGCATTTTGCGAAGTTACCAAGACAACCGAGGCCGCAGCAAGGGGACTTGATGCGCCATGAAAATTTAATAAAGAATTCTGAAAGGCTTTTACGAGGTGGGCGTGACAGAGGGAGATGGACTGGAGGACCCGACAGACCTCCAGGAGCCTCTCCTCCCGGAGCTCGTGGCCTGGCAGGAGCGTTTCCTGGCCTCCGCTGCTTTCAGCAAATGGAGCCCATACCTTTTCTCAACAGGTGTTTGTGAAGACACTTCCCAGGTGCCAAGCCTCGTGCCAGGCTCTTTGTGTCTGTTTGGATCAGATCTCTGCTGTACGGAAGAGGGACTTGCGTCAGGGAGGAAAAGTCACCCATCCACGGCCACCTACCAGCCGCGCCACACGTCAGGCAAATTCAGGGCTCGAGTCAGACTTCCAAAGCCCTCCGTCCTTCCGGAAGAGACAGGGCCTCCTCTGCCCTCTCCATTCTCATGTGAAACAGGGAAAATATCTCTGAAGTCCAGGTGAGGCCTGGGGGAGCCATGGCATCCCAGGACCGCAGCCCTGGTCAGAGTCAGTGCAAACGCTTCCCTTCTTGCGGGAGGAACCGGTTCCCAGGAGCATCTCTGGGTGAGCAGATTTTGCTACTCAGGGCCGCAAAGAACCAGGAATGAGGAAATAGTTAGTCTCTTTATCATTTGATGCTGAAGCTCAATGACAGTGTTTGAATATGTGTGTGTGTTTGTGAGTGTGTGAGTACACCTGTATGAGTGTATGTGTGTGTATGTCTGAGCATGAATATGCAAATATAAACAGAGGCAGCATGTTTTTTCCAGTCAAAGTGAAGCAAGACTTCAGATCATGAGAAGAGGCAACTAGAACGCTGTCCATTCTGCTGAGTTTTTGAGAACAAGAAACAGACATTGCTTTATTATTTATTTATTTAGAAATAGAGTATGGGAAAATGTCACCCACACTCAGCAAATGAAATGGGAGAGTGGCAAGGAAGGTTTCGGGGTACACTGCTCACTGGTGAATTTTCCTCTTTGAGCCTGGGCGGCTCTCTGCTGCTGGGAGGACGCCCGATGAGAGAGCATGAATCCTGAGCTTCAAGAGCAGGTTTCCAGCGCCTGCTCTGCCAGCCCAGTTCTTGCTTACAGACCTGAGGAATAAAGGGCAGTAATCAGGAAATGAAGGGGGGATCTGAGCCGTTTTGGATTAGTATTCTGCCAATCACAAGGTCAACTCCAGACATCTGAGGAGTGGAGTTGAATGTCTTCAAATGTGTGCAGATGAAAGGCAGGCTTCATTCGTTTTGATGGGCGTTGCTCAAGAAAGCTTTTGCTTCTGTCCTGTTACCCTTGTTAGGCCCCAGAAGCCAGGGTCAAGGTAATTAAGCATATACTTCTGTGATTACTATGCTTGTCATCATCTTGCCTAATGTTCCCAAGACACCGAGACAGAGTATCTCCCAATTAGGTAGTCGAGGGCCTTGGGACCCAATAGAAGAATAATTCGGAAGGCCCTGTGTCCCTAGAATCCCTGGTGTGCTCTGATGGTGCATTCAGTTCCTGGACGAATGGGCTGCCATGTTGGCCGAGACGGGCTCTGGAGAGCTGTCAAGAAGGCGGTGACAGTTCTCTTTCACTCAGTGGCTGGATCAGATGAGAAAACAAGTCTGAGAGAGCCCTTTGAACCGTGCTACACTGAGAACACGTTCATTCACACAAGTAAAGGGAGTCTTTAGAACACTCTAGAAAGACATGGACTCTCCCCAAACGCCTAGGTTTGCAGCAGGCCACCTTCTCTGAATGTGAGATGTGACATTAGCTGGGGACACAGGGTGGACTCGCCATGAGGGACAGGGCCAAGGCCATCCAGCCCAGCGGTGGCGCCCCACCCCTCTAGGCCAGGACCTGAGCTGAAGGTCACATGGAATCTGGCTGTCTACTGAGACAACTACCATGCTTGGGGAAGGGATCATCCAACTGGGAATCTGGGGATCCAGCGCTGTTCAGCCAATCGGCTCAGCAATACTTAGAAAGCCATGATTCTTTTTTTTTTTAAATTATTATTATTTTAATGTGCATTGGTGTTTTGCCTGAATATGTGAGGGAGTCAGACCCCCCCCCCCCGCCCAGGGCAGTAATTACAGACAGTTGTGAGCTGCCACGTGGGTGCTGAGAATTGAACCTGGGTCTTCTGGAAGACCAGCCAATGCTCTTAACAGCTGAGCCACCTCTCCAGCCCCCAAAGCCATACTTTCTTTTCTTTTTTCTCTTCTTTTTGTTTTGTTTTGTTTTTGAGACAGAGTTTCTCTGTGTGTAGTTTTGGCTGTCCTGGAACTCACTCTGTAGACCAGGCTGGCCTTGAACTCAGAGAAATCCACCTGCCTCTGTCTCCCAAGTGCTGGGACTAAAGGTGTGCACCATGACCGCCCAGCTAAAGCCAAGATTCTTACTGGCATCCACAGCGTGAGGGGAAGGGGAAGTCTCCTCACCTGGAGCTGCTCAGTTTCCTGTCAGTTCAACAAGCACCTGCCAGACCCTGCGTGTTGGCTCTGTGCCCAATAGCTTCTCTGGCCCCAACAGTACATGCCTGATCCTGAAAAAACGTCACAGCTGGGGTACCACAGGTACGTGGGACAAAGAGGGGGGCTTTCCAGGTTCCTGGACACGCCTGAAGAAGCTGTTCATTCTGTGAGGGTGAGGAGAATTGGGGTGGGGCAGCTGTGGCAGATGCCTGAACTGAACCTTGAGAGAAAGTTGTTTTCTATTGGGCAGAGGGATCTGAGTGGACCAGGTAGAGGTGGCAGCAAGGGAGGGGTGGGAAATCCTGAGCAGGGGGGCCTGCCAGGGTCTTCTTGCCAGTGGAGAAATGACTCATTGTTGTTCTGAGAACAGATTGCTAGAGTTCTAGGAAGCCAGAGTGTCAAAACCAGGATTGTGGCTCACAGGGAAGAAAGGGAGGGGCTTGATCAAAAAGCCCTTGACTGGGGGTGGTTTCAGCAGGATTTGAAGGCTCGCTGGTGCCCTCCAGGATCTTAGGGAGGAAGGGACAGGGAAGAGTGGGGCATATCAGAGAGAGACCTGCTGAAGTCTGAGCTAGGGGGAAGACAGAATTCCTGAGGTAATACAAGGGGACCCCCCCTTTACCTTCCCAGAGACTTGTTTGGGGAATGGAAGCATGGAGCTACAGGAGGCCCTGTTCTGCCAGGGCTGGGGCTGAGGGTGGGTGTGCTGGAGGATCAGCATTTAAACAACTAAACTGAAAGGCTATGTCCTTGTAGGCTCCCTCCTGGCTAGGCTGGTGGGTCACAGCTCCAGCCTCCAACAGATGAAAAGCCGAGCCTAGTCTATCTGCTGGGCTGGATCTCAAGGGTCCTTCTAAAGAAGGGATTTAAGCCACAGTGGTCAGAGCACTGTCCACCCCCCTTCCCCTCCCCACGGCCTGCCTGGGCTCTCTGGCTCTGTCCCTAACCTGCTAGGAAGGAGCCATCTGCATTGCTCTCCGTTCACCTTACTGGAACGGGGGCCAACTTGTCAGTGACAAGCTCCCATAACCAACAACGGCCTACCCCTCTAGACATCAACCTCTTGAACCGGTTTTCCCCTCCACCCCTCCTCAAGCCTCCGCTCCGTGTGTGCTAGCACTTTCTGAAGACTCATTCTGAGAGGCAGTGTCAAGTCACAGCTTTAATGGCTTTCTACGGCTGTGCTGCTCCAGGCTGGCTAACAGCAGTCCCCACACACGTCTCCTTTGGGACTTCTGCTGTGACACCCACTTGTTCTGCCCGAGGGGTCCCGAGGAGCATGCAGAAAGGTGTTCAAACTCTGTCCCTCGCAGTAGACATTTGAGAACACTGATTGTTCTGGTCTAGGCCGCCACGCGCTCTACACACACTCCTGCTTGTCCTGGCTCCCTTTGGGGCCTTCCATTCTCCCCTCTGAACGCCCTCCCCTCACTCAGGGCTGACAGCACAGTGCTGGGCACCCAGTGGCTCTTGGCCATTGAGTCAGCAGCCCACCTTTGCAGGGAACCTGGATGGGGAGCCTGGAGAACCTTACTGCGTTATTTCTTCGTCGTTTCTTAATTAGTAACAAATCACATGGCAGCGACAGGCAAGCTCATGAAATAAGTGAGGTCAATCTGTTAAGTACCCCCCGTGCAGCACACGGTCGGGGTGTCCGCCTTCTTGATATTTCCACTTCTTTTCAGGGAACGGGCGGAAGGAAAGAGACGCAGTGACGCCAAGCTCTGACCAGCAGGCTCTCGGAGGCCCCAGCAGACCCTGGGGTACTGTTCTCCACGTCCACAGCTCTCTGCTTTGAGATGGTCTGTCCTCTCCCCAACCCTCCAATCCTCTGCATGCCCAAGCACAACAAAGCTGGCCCAGTTGGTGCTTCCCAGGAGCCTGGCATAGCAGGTGCCATCCGTCACATCTCAGAGGTCATAGGTCCACTGATGACTCACAAACGGGTGGGTCACCACAAGGTGCTGGGAGGAGGGTGGCCCAGAATTGGCCATGCGAGGCGAGAACCCTGCAGAACACAGAAAGGATGGCAGCTGAAACCCTGGTGACTCCCGGCAGGGGTGCAAAGCTCAGGGTACCCAGCCCCCAAGGGCACACCTTCTTCCAAGAGGACAGTGTGGCCTTCAGGGAAGAGTGTGTCTGGAGTAAGAGAGCTTGCTAACACCAATCACTCGGGGTGCAGGGATGCCTACAGCTCACTGGGTTGTGGGTTCATTTGCTGGGGAGGGCTACTATGGGGGCGCCGGCCCCGGCCGCACACCAAGCGTTTTTCGTCCAGCAGGGATAGGTGATATTCACACAGGTCGATCAAGGAGGCCACCTGCTCGTGGAGGGGCTGCATCTTGAACTTCCTCTGGGCCAGGAAGAAGAAAGCTTCAACAAACGCCTGCAGACACATCCCTGTGGACAGAGAGAGGCTGTTAGAGAACCCAGGGTACGCCACAGGGAGCCCCCGAAGCACACTGCCTCCTCTCTGGAAAGGCCACACAGAGCCAGCACTCAGAGGACCCCCCGTGCCCAGGCGCTGCATGCTTCAACAGCCCCCGGAAGCAGGTTTTATCTCTCAGAGATGGGGACACTGAATCTCGGAGAAGTGGGGAGAGCGGAGTAGGATGTGGCAGTGTCCCGAATCTTATTCCTGGGCACCATGAGGAAATGCCTTCCTGGGAAACCCCTGCTCCCAAATTTACCATTAGAGGGATAATAGCAGCTAAATTATCAACCTGACAACAAGGTGCAGCCCGTTCCAGTATGGGTGTCCGCAGACAACTGTATCTGAAGGTTTCTTCGGTTTCCTGCAAGTTATGTCACCGGGTAACGTGAACCCAAGCCTCAGACCTTTGGTTGTCTCGTGACCCCCTCCCTCCCCACACACCACAGGTGCTGGTGCTGAGGGCGTGGTCTCCAGCTGATGGCACTATCTGGAAAGGTTCAGGAAACTTCAGAGAAATGTCATCCCTGGAGGCTGCCTTTGGAGACTCTACCTCATTCTCACTCCCTCTCCTTTTTTTTTTTTTTTTTTTACTTCCTGTCTTCCACAAGGCGACCTCTGCCACACACTCCTACCACCAGGATGTTTTCGCTCAAGTATATGGGATCAAACAACCACGGGCTAACCCCTCTGAGACCCAGAGCTGTTCCCTCGGGTCTGTCTCAGTCGCAGTGAGCAGAGGGTAGCAAACACGTCAGAGGCAGTTATGTTTGGGATGCATGATGCACGATCCCCGCTGGGCCCAGGGCTCTGCCTGGCTGGACCTCAGAAGCTGCTGCTGGCCCCTGGGATTGGAGCTCCAAATTCCAAGGTTGGAATTAGACAGGCCCCAGCTACATACAGGTTTTTCAGAGCTGGCCACGAACCCTGGGCTCCCCAAGCCCTCTACCACCGAGCTATGTCCTGGCCCCACCTGCTCTGGTGTCAAGTGACAGAGGAGAATTTAATGCAGTTTCGGGTTTACGGACAAAAGCACAGAAAGTCCCTATAGACCCTTGTCTCACACAGCTTGCCAGAGTGTGGCCCATTTGTCACAACTAGTCAAACAGTATGGGAGGGGCAGGGGCACGTCTGAGCCCATTCTTTGCTCTGTGCAGTGTCTGTGTTTATGATACAGCACCACAGCCCCCAGGTCCCTGGCTTCCACCCACCCATGCCTCCTCCGTGCCTCTAACCCATGGCAAACCACTCATCTTTTTATTATTGCTATAGCCTTGCCTTTCCCAGAACGGCAGGCTGAAGGGCTTGGAGCCTTTTTAGAGGCTTTTTCCACTTAGCAGGTTCTGTTATGATCCATTCATGTCTTTTCATGGTTTGTTAGCTCCTTCCCCCTCTTTTAAATTAAATTTTTTTAGGTCTCCATACAAAGTGATGGGCTCTCTACGAACCCTTCATACATAGCTTCCATGGTTACATTTTGTTCTCAGCTGATTCCCCCTCACTGCCCTTCCCCATACTCTCCCCTCCAGCTACTCCCCTTCCCCATCCTCTCCTCCCCCCCAGCTACTCCCCCTCTCCCCAGTTCCTTCTCCCTTCTGCTTTCCATTGTATTCTGCTATTGGCTCTATCTCCCATTTCCTTTAAGTATCTTCCTCCATTCTCAAGACCCTCTTTCTAGTTTTGTAATTTATAAACAAACATATAAACACAGGCATATAATTTTAAATTTAGGCTCTATGCTTGAGAGGGAATGTGAGTTCTCTTCCCAAGTCAATTGAATCCATTTCCTGGAAAAGTCATTGTTTCGTTTCTCTTTGTGGCTGTATAAAATTCCATTGTGTGTATGAACGATGCTTTCTTTATCCATTCATCCATCATCTATGGACATCTAGGCTGCTTCCATTTATCCATTCTTCTGTTGATAGACAGTCAGGCTGCTTCTATTCCCTGACGATTTTAAAACCTGGGTGTGCAAATATCTCTGTGGTGTTCTGAGTTAGGTCCTGTGGGTGTAGTTTATTGAAGGAGCTCTATACTGATGTACACAGTGGCTGCCTTAGTTTACACCTCACCGGCAGGGAGGAGGGATCGTCTTTCCAACATCCTCACCAGCATTTGTTCTCCCACTTATTTACTTAAACAAATAAATAGACAGGGCCTCATTCTGTAACCCTGGATGGCCTGGAGCTTCTGTGTAGATCAGGCTGGACTTGTTCTCAGAGAGCTGCCTGCCTCTGCCTCCTGAGTATTGGGATTAAAGGCGTGCCAGGTGACATCAATCTGAATGGGGTGAGGCAGAATCTCAAGGTGATTTTATTTTTGTTTACTTATTGTTTTTGTGTATGTTCATGTGTGTTTGTATCAGAGTGTATATATGTAGTATGTAGAGGTCAGAGGTCAACCTTGGGTGTTGTGCTTCAGTTGATCATTACCATTCTTGGTCTATTTTTGAAACAGGGTTTCTTGCTGGGACCCAGGGCTCATCAATTAGGCTAAGCTGCCTGGCCAGGGAGCTCCAAGGGCCTGCCTGTCTCCACTCCCCAGTGCTAGGGTTCTGACCCTGCACCACCGTGCTGGCATTTCCTGTGGTTGCTGAGGATCCAAGTCCAGTCTCCATGTATCCCCCTGACGGCTAAGGATACCTTGTCAAGTATTTGACTGGCCATTTATGTTTCTTCTTTTTAGAATTACATGTTCAGTTCATCATCCCATTTACTGACTGGATAATTTGGGGCTTGGTGTTTTTGTTGGAATCGATATATCTTCGATATTAATCTCTTGTCAGATGTACGGTTGGTGTGGATTCTCTTCTCTCTGGTGACTTCTTTGCTGTGCAGAAACTTCCTGACTTCATGGAATCCCAGCTGTCAGATCCTGGAATTATTTCCTGTGCTGCTGGAGTCCTCTTCAGAAAGTCATTGCCTGTGTTCATACCTTGGAGTGTTTCCCTCCAACCTCTCCTTGCCCCCTCCTCCCTTTTTAATTTTGGAGGTACCTGACGCAGCTTGCTTAGGTTTTGTGGACCATGGGCTGAGTCCATCTTTCCTGCCTTGTGTCTAGTTCATTGTTGTCTCCTAGTGACGGGAACCCAGAAGATGCTTGGTAGGGACACACTGGAGTCCTGAGCGGATGGCTGGGTGGGCGGGTGGGAGAATGATGTGTCAGTCCCAGGTGCTTCATAGACACTGTCACTGATCCTCTTGGGATCCCGGAGAGGTTACTGTTATTATGCTCTGCTCTACAGGTGAGGGACAAGATGGAGACAAAGTGACTTCCTAAGGTCACTGACAGAGAATACTGCCTAGGGAATCAGTTTTTATACCAATCAGTTTTTATTGCATCCACATGAAAATGATCTACAGGGCCTGCGTGTTTCCCAGGGATCCTCAGGGAGGTGGCAACTGTGACAGAGTCAGTCGTCGCGCTGTGCTGGCCGAGGCTGGCCCAGCCCCTGCTGCTCCACGCCAGCCATGGGTTTGCAGGAGCTGAGCTGTAGCTGTGTCCTGTGACCTTGGAACACCCTCCGACTTGAGAAGGTGAGCCGGGCAAAAGAGGCTTTCTTCTCCTTCCAAACGTATCATCAGCTCTTGTGATTCTTCTGCTTTGACTCTGGATACCCTGCAAGTCCCTTGCTCCATGGGACAAGGCAGCAAAGTACATGGGACTCTTGAGGAAAGGCCTTTCTCTGTAAACAAAAGTCTGCTGTGGACAGACAGGGCAACAGGGCCTTGGTTTAACTCAGGAGGCAGACCTGTCATAAACACCAACTCTTGGAGAGGTGCGCATGTGTGTTCTGTGCATATGACTGTCTGTGCATGCGAATGTGTGTGTTGTGGTTGGTTGGTGGGTCAGACAAATACAATGGATGATGCCCGGAGAAACTCAGTTACCCTCCAACCTCCCAGCTCTGTCTAAACACTTCTTCTCAAAGCCTGGCCCACTGAGGACCCGTCTGAGACTCTGCATCTCACTGGTCCACCAAGGGCTTATCTGAGACTGCATCTCATTGGCCCACCAAGGACGGTGTCTGAGACTGTGCGTCTCTGGCATCTGGTAGGATAAGCAGCTTGGGCCAGAGTGTAATCAGCCACCTCATCAATCATGTTGCTTACTTGAGCTGACAGCACTCACAGCAAGTCTTCGTCAATGAGGAAGCACAACTCTGAGTACTTCCAATGTCCACACGCAGCGGCGCTAATGGGCTTTCCAGTCAACACTGTCTTCTCAAAATGTGGGTTCTGGGGTGAGGCCAGAGACGTGTGTGTTGTCGGGTCTGGTGGCTGCTGGCCTGCGGCCCACGCTGAGCAGTGGGCTGGAAACACACAGTACCGTGTACCTCGGTGGAGATTACTTTTGTTCCCTTCACTGAAGGCTGCCCATGATTCGAGCTATCACTCACAAAAGGAATATGACAAGGGGAAGAGTACGTGGTTGCATTGTTTGGGTGAGGACATTCTGAGAGGAGGAGAGTGTTTAATTCACTACCCTTGGCTTTCTTTTTGTCTGTCTTTTCTGGCTTCCTAGAGAAAACAGGTATAAAAAAAAGTATCAAAAAATCGTATTTGAAACAGGTGAAAAAGGGTGTTGCCTTGTAGTCCAACACACACACATATACACATACCACGTACATCACACACACACACATGCCTATACATACTCTACACACACCACACACACACTCTCTCCTTTGATAAAAAGTTTAAAAGAACACACACACACACACACACACACACACACACACACACACACACACACAATTCTCCAATTACCCTTGAGGGGTATGTTTCAAGATTCCCAAGAGAATTCCTGAAACTGCAACCAACACAGAATACTGTACTGTCCATCCTATGTTTCTCTGTGTATGCCCTGCAGCACAACATAGCACCAGAATTAATTCGCCTCTCCCTTTGAGCCACCAGCCTCTGTGCTTCAGGACGCTACTGGGTGGTAAGGGTCGGTCCAGTCAAGG